CATTGCACAATGCACGGCATATCCACATTTGCTAAATTCAAAATATTTAACAAAACAAAGAAAATTACATTCAGCCCCATACCACCCGCCCCCACCCAAATAAAAACTAGAAAATGCAACTGAAAACGTGCTGTTACGCTTTGGAATAGTGGTCAGAGGGATCCATGATTCCCAGTTTTTGTTGTATTACACAGAAGCATTCATCAAACGGAACTTTAATAATTTCAATGAAATTTAACAAATAAACTTAATTTGATAAGTCCGAGAAAGGCAAATGACGAAAACGCAGACGATATGACGTTGTCCCGTTGTTCTATATTAGATGCTAATTCATTTGTATGAGTTGAACCAAAAACTACAAATGTAATGAGTTAATTATTTGTTGATGTTTCGTTCCGGAAAAGTAACTTCATATTTTTGTACATTTTTAACTCCCAATAGAGCACCGAAACGCTCTTTGAGTTTGATATAAGCCTTAAAGCTTTAAAATTTCATTTCGATGCGATGCATTTTTCTCATCTCTTCAACTTTATCGTCGTTTTTTCTCTCAATTTCAAAAAACTATGCCATCGCGTATGATTTTGAGGGAAAATAATATTGTTATCATTTTTTTTTTGTGTCTGCACCCAAATTAATTAACACGTTTATGAAATTTTTTCGAATTGTTCAAAGAAAATAATGAGAGTATGCTTGTTGTATTTTGTATTTAAATTGAATGCACGATAAAATGTGATGTATCACAAATATAACATGATATTCTAATGTATCCATTCATTTGAAAAGAGAAAGCAATGACACGCAAACTAAAACCCATGCCGATAGGCACTAGAACAAGTGCCAATACATTGGACTTGTGCGACGTATATATCATATTTTGTTTCAAAAAGTCACGATTGTCGCACAGATCTATTCGTAAATGATTTAATATTATCACATTAATAATATTGACCTTTGTGTATTTGCTATTTTTCATGAAATTTATTGTGTGTACGGCATTTTTTTTTTCACTTGCTTTCGCTGTTTGTTTATTGTTAGCCACGCGTTAAATAATTGCTTAGCCGTTTCGATATGAATCAAATCTTTCAAACACAATTTGACACATTTTGAACATTCCCACTAAATTACAAAGTTGATATAGGTCAATCGATTTTATGAAATCAACCGTAATAATAGAAATGAGAACGATTCACTCGGTTAGCAACGAGCCAATAACAATCATAATAGGGCATGTTCCTTATGAATGCGATAAATAGAAAGTTGATAGTCAAACACAGTTTTGTTATTAGAGAGTTTTGGTTCATCTTCTATTTTTCCTTCATTTTAAATTAATTATTTTTTTTTTTTGCATTTGTCAAATTGACGAGAAGGTTAAATTGTTTTCCTCGGCAAATAGATCACAGCATTACATGCATTATCAATATTATTACTTTTTTTGCAGTCGATTGATTCTTATCGATAGACCTTGCAGCTTAGAAATTGAAATCAATCCTTTCGACTCAATTTGACGTGAAATTTTCTCACTCTATAGAGAATAGTCTCCAATTTATTGATCAGTTCAGTTGCTTATAATTTTTGTCATCGTTTTTAGATGTCTGTATCAATAAAAAAACACAGGTCAGTGAATGTGCTAAACAAAATATCGAAACTCGCCCATTTGTGAGAGACAGTATATCAACACGGCTGATAACGATAACTGTAAAGCCATGACGAACACAAGATGTGTACGAATATAGAAAATAATATCGCTATTTGCTCTATTTTTAAATGCAGTAAATATGAATAGTTGCAATTACATTATATTGACGTAATTTTTACATTTTTTTCTCTTCAATTTATTTTGTTTATCAACACTTAAAAGCCGCACCACAGTATCTAAGAAAAAGATAAATTGAACTGGTTTTTCATTGAGACATATATGCACCGAATGTCATTTGTTTCAAATTAAAAGAAACAACAACCAACCGACACGAAAAACCATGCCCCTTAAACTTAATTATAGATGATACCTACATCGAGTCCTTCGTTTTGACAGTGATGAAACATCTATTTAACATGTGTTCGGTCCCTGCATTTTCCAAAAGGTTTAATTGTCGAAATTAATTAAATCCGGATTTGAACCGTTTTTATTGTGTATTTTGTGCGCTTACATAATCGCCGTACATGTATTTGTATTGAGTGTCTGTGTATTTTATCCACTTTTCGTTCTCTATTTTCCAATCTGTGTACATTTGAACTGGTTGATGAAAACCTGTTGATGCGATGAGTGCGACTAAACCATGTCCATATAAACCACATTCAAACAGTGTCATCAATTTAATTTCTATTGTTTTCCATTTAAATGGTTTAGATATGATGCGACCAGTTCGTTGAGTGCATTTCGTTATGGATTTTTGATGAAGCCAGTTGTGTGTGTGTTTTTTTTTTAAATGTGTTTGATCTGTTTTGCTATTCACTGCAATCGAGTGTGTGAGATAAAAGTTCATGTATCATTTCTAAATGAATGCATTGCACAAGTGAATTAATGGCAATTTTCTTAATACACTCTATATTGATAAGAGACAAAATACAACAAATAACATATACAAATGACACACAATGAATTGATTTTTCCCATGACGATTATTGTTATTTATTATTAGCCCGAGGTGGTGCAACAAATAAAGGGAAAAAAACCAAGTCAATGTCATTTGTTATTAAATTGATATGAATCAGAAAAAGGGACATTGTGTGCACAACACAATTTTTGTTCTTTTTACTCTCTCATTTGCACTAATTTCATTAGAAAAATGTTTCGCCGCATTCACAAGTAAATCACAAACAGTTATCGCAATAAATCAAACTACGCACAATTTAGTTTCCGAAGTGGAAAAAAGAAGCACAAAAATGATTTGTGAATTATGTTATTTCAATATGAATTTAAACTTTGGTGACATCCTTTTTCTATTTTTTGCTAGAAAAAAGCTCTTACGTTAAATAAAATCGTCGGAGAATGCAATTTTCGTATGATAGTATATGATTTGTGCACAGTTCATGATTTTTATTAATTTTCACTTGAATAACCATTGAAGATTTGATTATCACAAGAGCGAGATTTCTTTTTATTATTTTACATTCTTAAATGTTCAAACGTGTGCCATTTTGTTAAATCCATTTGCAAAATCTGAAATTATGTGGCCGAAACCCCATCAACCTCCCTCCCTCCTCTTTGCCATAAAATAAATCTGCCAGGAGATGCGAAGTAGAGCCACGTACAATACAATCGCGACAACTCAAGAATAATGTGCTGTTGTTTTCTCATTTTTGTTTAACGTTTTTCAAGATGGGAATAAAAAAGACGTAAAAAAGGAGCATAAAACCCGTAAAAAAAAGAGAATCATTTGAATGAAATGAAAATAAAAATAATAAAAAAAAATCCTTGACAGTAATAAACGGCTTGTATTCACATTGTCTTTGCACTATTGCAAACGATAGCTAATTCACATTAAATGAATTTGTGGATGTTGAATATCAAAATCGTATAACATAGAGAAAATTTAAAGGCGCAATTTGGAATCACATTTCAGCACATACATGAACAAAAACACTGCTGTTAATGTAAGGGTTATTTGGATTCTATTTTGATTGTATTATTATAATTCGTTTGGTATTTTGCGCGTTTGTATGTCTATGACATGTGTATATGTTATTTTTGTAGTTTTGTTTTATTGGGATAGTCAATAAAAGCGGTTCAGTTGAAGAATCAAATTGCACCGTTTAACAACTGCATGGCATTCAAACGCGCTCTAACATAACACTCGGAATCCAACCGAGCGCCAAAACGATGTCAGAGATAAGTGTCTGTGCACGCAATACTCAAACACATACGCACACGCACATCTAAGTAATGAATGAAACGAAATTCAAATCGACATTTTATCAATTCTTAATCATCATTATTTGATGATGTTGGCTGATTTTGTGCAAATGTATGTGCAATTCTTCGATATATCTTTTCATCAAATTTCCAATGGCAAGCGATACAGTTTATGTGGATTTTGTTTGTTTTTTTCTCACGTGAAACACATAAAAAAAATCGTCTAAAAATCTATTCGGTGCGCTAAAAATCAGCGATTTTTTAATGTATTTTCCACGCTTTTTTCATATATATATAATCCCATTTGATTTTATTCGGATTTATATGCATCAATTTTCATTGAAAAAGGCAAAAACTTGTTTCAATTTTAAACGGGAAACTATTAAAAAAAGATTGCAATTCGAGAGAAATATATTGCTCAAATTGCAATCAAAACTAACTTGGCTAGGTATAAAGCTCTTGGGACCATGTTCGTCTTCGTTGAGCTCCGTGTGATCACAACACTGTAAAGGTGAACAGTTTTTTATGGCCGTCATAAAAATTGTTGTGAATTGCCCAAACGACACACATACTACAACTATGAATACAACACACACACACACGCACACAGGGAGAGTGCAGATAAGGCGCGAATCAGTGCGAATGTTTCTTTGTCATTTTGCCAAGCACCGAATCAAGCCAAATAGAAGTGCGAAAATTGCAAAATAATCTACGAAGACAAAAAAAGGAATAGCAAAGCGCAACAACAATAACAACAACAAACATGTGGGATGAGAAAGGATTGTCAGAGATACGACACAGAGAGCATTAAAGTTTTGAGTACGCTTTTTTCTTCCTCTCTGTCTATCTTGCGCTGCACTCTTTGTGCTTCATGTACAAGGAAGGAACTCTAATGTTGTACATTTTATTAGCATAACAAAAACAAATTATTGTTGCACTCACACAAGAAATGCGAAAACATTTTGGCTGACAGCAAAAACTAAAGTCCAATATCTTGAACTCTTTTGGCCTCGCTCATCTTATCAATTTTCAATTTAATTACGATTAAGATTAAACTTTTACCATATTTATCATCGATATTCTAATTTTGTTCTTTTTTTTGTTTCGTTTTCTTTTCTTTTCTTTTCTCTCACTATTTTCATTGCAGATCTTTGTATGTGAACGTGTATTTTGATGAAGCTCCAGCCAACTTCCATGGTTTCGTTGAATTTTAATGAAAATAAAAATGCTAACTTAACGTAGAAAACCCAAGATATGTTTCATATTTCATTGTACAAAACAAAACAGAAAAAAATAACGAAAAAAATTGTTTAAATAAAAATAAAAAATACATAAAGTGAATCAAATATTAGTATGTCGCACTAAATTGATAGCAAACAGAATGAAAAACTCATAAATGTAACTTAAAATCAGAATATCGTATACAGTACACACATACACAAAACTATTTCATTTTATTCTACAATTTTATTTTAAATTGAGCTTCGACACAAAATGTAACACCACATAAAAATCAATTCAATATTTATCAATATGCTGGGCAATTCATCGATTTAATTTAACTATAGAAGTTACGCAAAAATGAAAAAAAAAAACTAATTATGAAAATAGTTCATTATGCTTTTTTCTTCCCCTTTTATTCTGAATGATCTTTTGAAGAACAAATAAAAAAAAGATCTATTGTTTTCAATAATGAATTGCTATTGATTATAATCTTGAACATATCTGCAACATATAATATGTGAGCAGAAAGCGGCAAAGTAAATCTACATTTTAATGAAGCAAAATGCGCTAAAACTTTATAATTATAATCATAAATTTAATGGCTTTTCTTTGGTCATACAAACAGATATAATGAAACTGGGTGCAAATAAGGAAATAAAATGTTCAAAATTAACCAAGTTAAAGGAACGTCGAACGTAAGATTGATCTCTTTTAACATGAATGTCCACAAATTACACCGAAATACTGCGGAATGAATTTTTCTTCTTCTTTGGAATATGGTGCTCCTTGATCCATTTTGTATTCACATTTCGGCTCTTATGGTTACGTCCAAAACAGATGAAAAATGAGAATAAGAAATTACATGAATTTATGATAAAAAACTAGATAAACAGTTATTTAAAAACAACAAAAAAGATGTGTAACATTGTAAGTGACAGTGGAAAATATACAATTTAATATAGCCAAAACAATACTTCGTAAACAAAAAAAAAATAATAGTATAAATTTAGAATGTTTTATCTGATAATTGAATAATTGCAATGAAAATGCAAATGAATAAAAAACACAAAAATAATAATAATAATAATAGTAATTATGATAACAATAATAAATGTAATAATCATAATCTTCACAGAAAATCGATCATTCACACTAAACAAAATACCCAAAAATTTAACAGTTATGAGTTGTTTAAATGAGATAAATATGTCTCCATTGTCATTATTGGCATTGCTTATTTTGACTGAAACTAAGACATTTTCAGCATTTGCCGATATATATATTTATTAGATGAGAAACGATAAACTGTCAAAGACTGCAGTCTTTCCATCCGAAATATCAAACGGAACCATAGACTGAAGCGAATCGAACATGGATGTCTAACAAGTTTTTGCTTTCACTTTAAATTAAAAAAAGAACATGATTATTATATGTAAACGAATTCAATTAGACGAAATAGCCGAAGACTATGTGCTTGTACCACATAAATATTGCAAATCATGCAAAAGCACCAGATATTTAGATATATAAGTACAGTGTGTCCGGTTATATCTTTCAAACTTGAAAGTTTTATGTTTAAACACAGTCATTCTCAAGAAATGGTACTCTTAGCATAGTATAGTTTTTATTCATATTTTAACGTTTGTAAATTTAGTCTGATTTTTTTGGGATAATTTTACAAAACTGTGTTTTGTAAATTTACTCTGACTTTTTGAGGTATTTTTACATATTTTGTAAACAATTTTGTAAAATTACCTCAAAAATATAGCGCAGTATGCGTTGACAAAATATGAAAAACACATGTTGTAAACGGTTTTGTAAAATGACCACAAAAAAATCAGAGTAAATTTACAAACGTTAAAATATGAAGAAAAACTTTTACTCTGCTGAGAGCACCATCTCTTGAGAATAGGTGTATTTAACATGAAACTTTCAAATTGATGAGAGAGATATAATTGGACTCACTGTACAGAAACAGGCACAAATGCATACACAGAACTGAATGCAAGTTCAGGTGTTTCCATCGTTCGTAATGAATATAACACTTAAAATTCAAATATATTCTTTTTTTTTTTTCTTTTTGATCTTTATGGCTAAAGAAATCATAAAATGTCTTTTGAAAAAAATAAATAAAGAACAATAATCAAGAATTAGATGGTTTCTTGTCCGATCCATTTAAATTATACATAAATGGGCAAGTTCAATCGAATTCTGGCTTTTCAAATACATTTGCAAAATAAATGTCATTCATTTTAATGCACTTCAGATCGCAATAAAAATAAACTTATTTCGTTTTGTTTTCCTTTTCTCGAAAGGACAAAAAAATTTGAATTGGGAATTAAGAATACGCACAAACAAAATATGCAGACACATTTATCGGTTAGCATTGCGTAATGAACGACTGTTATCAAAGCGAAAATTGTTTGACTCAATATTGAAATCAACTGTTCGGAGGCGCTTAATTGGCTGGCGATAAAAACATAATTAAATTCCATTTTTTTAAGAAAAAAAAAATACTCGTAAAATTGCGATTGAATATTACACTATCGGCTAAAAATGAATTGACAAGCAGAAAAAAAATTGAAATTTTAATAATTTAGCCTTTCATTCGATCCTTCGTGGAAATTAAAAAATTCAAAAGTGATATTTTTTATGAATTCGAAAATTCGTCTAAATTTTTTTTATATATAGAACTTTTTATGAAAATACGAAAACCAAAAATTTACTAGCCTCATACGTAAACGCGCTCTGCTAATCGTTTTTCTGTTTAGGCAGTGCTAAACACCAATTGGCATTACAAAATTTTGATACAAAAAAAATACTATATTTTTGATATGATTCTCTTTAGGTTACAAAATCGGACTTACAAAAAAAAAACTTTAAGACAATGTTTTCGGTCACAAAATTACTGCTATTCCTTTTTACGGTGTCTTATAATCTATACATACATTGAATGCGAAAAAAAAAATTCGAAGAAAAAAACCCATCGCTAAGAGATAAGTTTGACAAATTGAAATGAACAGTAATTATGAAAAAATGAAAAAAAAAAAAACATTTATTGCGATTTGCGGTGGAATTTGCTTGAAAAATAATAATATGAAATGAATCAACATTAATATGCATAATTTTTAAGAAAACTTTGTCAAAATGAAAGCATCGAATAATTTCGGTCTCGTTTTCAAATGAATTGATCATTTTCGGACACTATTTTGAAAGAGAAGACAAATAGAATAATCGCTTTTTACAATCTCAATGTAAATAACCTACTTGGTTGATCCCATTGATCGTTGCCTACAATGGTAATTAAAACAAAAACCGGTTGATTTTAAGAAAAACAAAGAAAAACTCTTGCCGAATGGATAAAATCCGCGAAATTGTGTCGATTGATTTCGAATTTAGAAAATATGAATATTTAAAAGAAAAACGCAATTTTACTTGCGAAAAAAGAGGCGAAGAATTGAATTTTCAGTAATTTGATTTGAAATGCAGTTGAAAACATACTTCGATACGGATAAGACAGAAAAATGCATTTTCCAATAAGTTTTTTTTTTGTTGTAATCATAAAACTTAACAATGAAAATCTTAGAGAAATCCATGTGACACATACTTTCTTATAACTGCATTCATGTTGTATAGCAAATGCTTTTCTCACTTTGAATATACATAGAAAACAACATAGGCAAAGAGAAGCGTTTAAAATATGTATGTTGACTTGAAATGTTCAAATGTTGTGAAAATCATTTCAATATTTTTGTGACCATTTTCGTTGTGGTTCAAAAAGTATTGGAAATAAAAGAAAAGATTGAAAATCACCATTATTAGAGATCCATTGATGAAAGAGACACATTCGCCAAATGGTCTCCATGCGCACATGATGGGCATCTGATTTATATCGCAACGGGTATTGTAATCGAAACAAGGAAATAAATAAAAAAAAACATGAAGTTAATTAGCCAATGGTCACTTATAATATATAAATATACTTCAAACATACTTTTAAATAAAGTCAATGTATTCGAATATCAAGAGAACACACAAACACAAACACAAACACACTTAAGATTAAAGGTACTACCAAAAATTTAGATCAACGAATTTACTAGTTATTTATGTGGAATACTGTAGTTTATTTAACAATAGAACAAAATACATTTTTTTATGCATGTACACTGTACGAATATGTTATTTTTTAAGTAAAATAACTTGAATTTTTCAGGCTAGACAAGAAGAAAAAAAAACCATTGTATCGGTGAAAAATCCACAATTTAATGATGAATTGAATTATGCATTCATGCAAATTTAATACGATTCGATGACAATTTATGCTGCTTGCAAATTGCTGTAAATGACAAATGCATTGTGAATCTTTCACCGTCACAGTTTTTTTTTCGCCTGTTTGATATAGAAAATGAATCATTTGCAATGAGAAATGGAAAGCAAAGGAAACAACATACTTAAATGAAATAAAATTGAGTGTGATTTCGTTTTGCACCCGAATTATATAAACATCCAAAATGCAAATGAAAAAAACAACGAGAACAACAACATTAACAGATGAAATTCAGTCTGAATAATGTAAATATGTCTAATTTTAACGATCGAATTTTTAGAATGTAACAATTGGACAATTGATTTATTATTGGATAGTTTGAAAATATTGTGTGAACAAGAATAACAATTGATGCGCTAAAACATAATGAAAATCAATGAGATTTCAAGTGTCTCTCTCAAGGGCATTGAGACTTTGTGATTTAGCTTGATCAATAGAATTAGGTATAAAAAAATATTTTCTTTTTATGCACAAACCATCAACATTCGTGTGGTGAATAAATACAGTCACTCAAAAAAAAAAAACATCAACAATTATTTAGACATCATTGATTTTCAGCAAATCACTTTTTATGAGTTCAACTAGTTTTTTTTTCGCTTCTAATGAAATGATTTCTTTCCAACACCAACTCATAAGAGCATAGTTTTCGAAAATACACATGCTAGTGATTTTTTTTAAATTAAAAATAATAAAAACAAAACATTTATCTACATCATGGGTACGCATTTGTTTGAAACGATTGATTCCTTACGATTTTCGTCTAAAAAGATTGAAAGCAATTAAAAAACGACGAAAATTGTATTTTGTTGTTGTAAAAAATGTTTTGATTTCATTAATTTTTGATTAAAAGTCACAATTTAAATTCAAAAGCTATGCAAAAGATACACAAAATTTGCGAAATATAAATTATTCACCACTTCCGTCACATCAATTGGTCCACACAATTAAGATAATGTAATAATTAATAGACATTACCGAACGAATCGCTTAATGGATTCACTAAACAGAAATCAACGAATTTATTAGCTCTTTATGTAAAAACAAACAAAGCAGATTAAGCCAGAAATTCTCCAAATCTCTAATAAAACAAAATTAATGTTTGTTTATTCCATAATAACAACAATAATAATAATATTTCATGCAACTTTGACGTCAATGTATTTAAATAAATAAAACATAACAATTACTGTGAAAAGTAGCTCTTTGAATTGTAATTAACTCAGTACCTTACATGTTTCAGAATAAATGATGCGATTTTTTTTGCTTTTTGTGAAGAATAAGAAAAATACATTTGGGCTCGTTTCATTTTCGGTCGTTGATTTATTTTTTTTTGCTTTTTTCGTGAGTGTGAGCATTTGTTTGAGGTGATTTCATTGGATTTTCAGTCATATCAAATCACTTTATGATCAGTGACTCCAGAAGTGATTATATTTACAAGATTCATCTCTACCGTCATAAAATAGCATGCTTTCGCCAAGATTTGATATTTTTTGTCTGTACATCTAAAAAAATTCAATCAGTTTATTTAATGTTGTGACGACGCAACTTCTTTCAATATTTTTTTCTTCAGTAAATCAGGGTTTTTCGGGTTTTTTTTCCATTGAATTATTATTCATTATTAAAAAAAATCGTCTCATTTGCGATAACATGTACCGCCGATGGATTAATAGATAATGTATAAATGGAAATTATATTAAATGTTGTCTACATCTGAACGTATGTTTTCAAATATAATTCGTCTGGCCGATTGATTCTGTATCATTTTCCTTCTTTTTAACCTTGAATTCATATCATTAAGATTGCATCGCACTTCCGGAGTCATTAAAATAGGAGAATAGTTTAAACAATGAACGAGATCCTTCTGATTTGTAATTCTGATTTTATTTAAATCTATTATATGCACGAAACCTCCATTAAAAAAGGTGTAAAGTGACAAAAAAAGACAAAACTGTCAATTGCCACAGAGCCATTCATGTAAAAATATGTTTATTTGACATTTTCTCTTAATTCTTAAATTTTTTTTAACCGTTTACATTAAATGTTTGGTTTTTTTTTTCAATTGTGTGTATGTTTCTTATAATCTTTTATCTCAAGCGTATCAATTGGCATAGAATGGTAAATCGGCTGGTTTTGTTCTGGTAAATTGTTCACGTTTCAGCCTTCAGTAGTTTTTCTTTTTCGCCGATGGTCAATAGAGCCAATTTAATGTGTGCCTTTGTTTCGATGGCTTTTTCTCGTATAACATTCGCTTCATTTTCCAGCGATTTCACTTTGAAATCACAAAATTTCACAGCTTCATCAATTGTAAATTCAACATGATAGTTGAGACCGACATTAACTAAAATTTTACTGGTGTCCGATACTTTGGCCGACATGAAAAAATTACCACCAATATTCATTTTTGTTTTAATTCCATCGGATAAATGCAGTAAAATACTTTCGCAAAGATTTTTCAATTGAACGTACTCCATAATTTCACCGTTCATTTTATTTATGTATGCTTCATATTCTCCTAATTCTTTGCGCAAAACATCTTCGATAAAATTCTCAATTTGTTCGGTTGATCTAGTTGAATATTCTCGTGTGATCTCACCACCAATTTGATACAATGAGTTAAATGACATGTTGAAACCGTAATTGATTTAAATTTGTTTTGAACCCTGTTTGAACGGAGTTTGAGAGGAATTTTAGTATAAATTGGAAAGAAAAGAATCAACATTATGGGATACCTGATATTAAAATGACTGAAATACGTTGGATACCTTATTTGCCGGGTATTTTGTTTTTGTTGTTGTTGTTTTCTATACTCTTCTCGATGGTTTTGAGTGTACACAAATATTGAACGGTTGGAGATATATTTTCAATTAACCTATACAATTGAATTGAAGCGTTTTTGATGTATCATTGAATGGTAAATAAAATCAAATTCTTTTACATACCAATGTGTGCTTTTATTTTGCGTATTATTTAATGGATACCATTATTTTTTGCGACTCTCTTTCGAGATGGTGAAATTTTGCTATGCAAATAACTACTATTCGTTGGATCGTTTTCGATAATTTCATAAAATAAAATTGGTGCGTGAAAAATCAAATTGAATTTGACGATAACAAACGAATAAACAAACGATACAGACAATATTGATGGCACTTTGAATGTTCGTCTGACAATTGTGTTTAAGGCGCACTAATACACATATTCTTGAGATGTAAGGTTATGTACACTTGTCAAAAATTGTTTATCGAATAACGTAAAGCAAAGGTAGTATTGAATTTTTTTTATTTTTTTCTTATAATTTCAAAATCGGATGCATTTTTTTAGTAAATTATTTACATTTTATTGACAGTGATATGAAACAGTGATATAAATAACAAAATGCTCAACAGAGGTCATAGTTAATTTTTTGAAAAGCTCCAACATAATTCATGTGATCGATTCAATCGCCAAAACGTCTGTCAATTGAAATGTTAGATGTCGTTGCCGGCAAGTTGCTGGCATTTGAAATGATTTGCAAAAAAGCAAATAAAGAAAGAATAAAATAGGGGAAGTGTTAAAAATGGAGAGGAACGAGACACTTTTAGTTCAAATGCATTATTACATGAAATTTGTTTTGATTTATTGATGCTCATTGAGGCGTGCATGCAAGTGTGTATGTGTGTGCATGTGCGAGGGTAAATCAGTTTGTAAATGGTGCACACATTCTTTTTTTTTTTTTGTTTGTTTGTATCGCCGTCGAGTGTGATATCAATTGTCATCCGATTGTAGATTAGGTTTATGGTTTGTTGCTGCGTTGTTTTCGTCAACATTGGCCGCGAGCGCATGATGTTGTAGCAATTTCAAGCCCTTTGGTAAAATTTTAATGGGATCTGATGATGAATCGGATGCGCCGCGATTTCTCTGAGCTTGTTCCTGTGCATTTTGCCGGTCAACAATAGTTGGTACAACGTCGCCGACAATTTTTTCCAAAATTTCGACAATTTTTTTGATATTTTCAATTTCACCGATTGCGGCACGTTGACTATTGCCACCGTCACTCACGGTATCCGGTTGCTGTTCATTGGTGGACTTCGTTAGTTCTGCTTTCATTTCATTCACCTCTTTGCTTATCTCATCTAAACTTTGTCGACGGTTTGTATTGGCATCGCTTTCGACCGGTATCGCATCCTGAAATTTGTTGAAATGGAATAAATTCGTTGTTTGAAACTCATTTACATTATTGGTTATTTGCATGTAATTTAAACGTTACACTCCCTAGTGGTATATATTTATTTCTTTTAAAATTTCGTGCTGTTCTCGCCTTTTTGATATCGTTTCTCGTTTGCCTTTCTCTATACAATGCACACACATATATAATATGCAAAAAGTAAATTTCTTACCCCGTTTGTGAACAGAATATATGGCGTCGCAACCAGATACGCGACAAACAATCTATGAAAGATACTCATGACGACCAATTGTGTTTTTGCCTGCTTCTTGAACCGTACTTTTATGCATTCTCCACAATCGTGTTATCAGATATGTATAGATAGAGAGTGCTAGTTTGCCATTGTGTGTGATGGCCCTGTTGTTTGCATTTATGTGAGTCTCTCTCTCTGTGTGTGTCTCTCTCCTTCACTACGTGTGCATGTAAAGGGGCATTCAAATGCGTAACTCATTTACCCATAATTTAAAGACAGAAATACTTAAATTCGAATTATATTTGCATTAACTTGAACAAAAACATAAAACGTACAACGGTTTCCGTCTCCCCGATTGTCTCTCTATAGCTCGGGTTTCAATTCTTGTGCTTAATTCTAAAAGAGATGAATTTGAAAAATTGTTGCATTTAACTCAATCGAAACCGGTTTCATATAATTCATTAATTTGAAAACGATTACAGTAATAGCAATTCCTGTCTATTACCCAGACGGAAGTTAATAGATGTCATTTTTTAAAAATTTAATTTGATTTGGTTTAGTATCATTCATCATATTATTATGCGATGTATTTTTCGTTGTACAATCAAACTGCATTAGCGTGTCAGAAGATTACTCTTTTTTTTTTTTCAAGGGGAAAATTTCAGAATCAAATTATAATTATGAATTAAACAAAAAAATGGCATACCTTTTGAATTTCTGTTCAATGAATAATACGTACAATACATAACGCATATGCCAAAATTACTTCTCCGTTCGAAACATGCGAAAATGCTATCATCGAAATTATCTTGCCAATGGTAATACGCTTTCGTTCGTAATGCGAACCATAAGCTAGTCACTTATGAAATTTGGTCCGATCGTTTCGGTGAAATCGAATGTAAAAGGTATCGTTTTATCAAATTGTGACATCAGTTCGGAACTTGATTGTGTTAAATATATATATTTTTCAATTATTTTTTATGGATATTGAAATTGGGTCAATGTGTCAAAAACTAATTGTTGATGTATATATTTTTGTACAGCATTTGTGTGTGTGTGTGTGTTCATTACATCTCTGGACTCAAGAGTTTTTTCTCAGGAAAACAGTGTGTGTGCGGTATTCGGTTTTCTACGTTTCCAAATGATAAAATGATGGACAAATGGGATGAGTTTAATTCAGTAAATTTAATATCAAACAGCACGCAATGCTACGTCGTTAACGATTAATTTCGGATCCGCACATTGACTAGAGGTAATTACAAAGGATATGTTTTTATTTTAATAAAACACCGAAAAAGGGAGACACTGAAACTAACAAAAAAGTGTGTGTGTGATAGAGGGAGAGAGAGAGCGAGCGAGAGAGAAACGTACACACATAAATAGTATAAACAAAACATACGCATTCTTTGGTAAATCCGATGCGAGTGCGTCGCTTACAGCAGATTGTATGGTATGGGATGGCAATGGCCAAAAGCATAAATATGTCTGGTGTACGTTTGTGTGTTCAGTGTTCACAAAACGAATTATCCGCTTAATGCAGTAGCTACGGGTTCAAACAGTTCACATGAAATCATAATACGGTTTTATATCGACATTTTACGTGCACATGTTGGCTCGTTCATCGTATTCGATGTGGTCGTCGTCATTGTCGCTGTTGCTGTTCTGTTATCAACATCAACACATTATACACAGCCGTTTATGTCGCGAACGGCTCTTTGGTTAAAATTATGAAAAGGCAATTCGACGAAAAACAGAAACACCAAATCGATATAGGACAAAACGTCACGCATTATAATTCTGTTTCTCTCAGTGGCCTTTGAAAAACTCTTCAAATGCACACAAACACATATTACTCATGAACATACAGCACACAGCACACAATCGCACATCCAATGATAGCAAGAACGAGCATTGTGAAATTTTATTTGCACTCGCACTCGCATTTGCCAATCGCTCTCGCTCTCTGTCTGCTCAACTCGCTTAAAATGTATTTTTATGGCATACAATTTACTGCGAACAACAGTGAAGGCTATGCATGCTATGTGATAGAGAAAGAGCATGAGTTACTCATGATGAGTATTGTATATGGATTGTTATTTGTACGTTCGATGTGTGTGCACTATGCAGTCACAGAAAAATGCAAAACAAGCCGAAAGCGAAAATAATAATCTTCACATTTTATGCTTGCTTCTTCGTTCTTATTTTTTTTTTTTGTTCGTTCGTTTTGTTTTGTTTTTTCCGTTCCTTTTTATACACACATATTTTTTTCTGTGTTCTGTTCATTTTGTTTTGGTTTTAAATTCGCTTCACATTAGACACTCGAATGCGAGCTGAGCTGATGCTGTTTTTGCTGGTTGTATAGTGTGTACGTATTGTTGTTGTTGTTCGTTTTGTTGGTGTTGCTGTATGCTGCCGGTCGTCGTTTACCATTTCTTCTCTTTCCTTTGCCATTCTCATTTTAGAGGTAGAAAGAAGAAAATGCCGATACGACATCACACTGCAAAGCAGACATTTTAAAGCTGCTAGTGTGCCGCTTTGGCAGAATGTAGCTGCTAGCTAGTGCGACCGATGTCGACGCTGCCGATGCCAATGCAAATGGCATGTGTGTATGGGTGAAGAGAAGCGGGCGATTTTACAATGTTAAACGCTATTGGTATTCTCGCCAGAGCAAAATGTAGGAGCAAAAAAGGAGCAGAATGTGAAAAAAAAAGAAAGAAAAAAAAAGAGAGAGAGACACAGAACACAGAGAAGAAGAAAAAATAATGCACAAAATACCAGCTACAATTTCGTGTGCCTGTGCCGCATTCACAGCTATATTCGCTCCGACTGCTCTGATCACCAGAGAGAACCATTTAGAATACACCAAAACGATTCTCAGTTTAGTATAGCGAGAATCGCTTGCACATGCAAACGCTTTTTTGCAAAATATCGTACATTTTCCCGTTCCTCAGTGGTTCTATTTCGTATTACATTCAACTTATTTCTTTAAACACACTTTAAAATTCGTTTTTCAGTTCAGTTGTTTGTTTTGAAATTCCTATGTCTGCAGTCATTTTGGTCTAAATTGAATTTTTGTCACCTAGCTTCGCATACATACATTTTATACACTTGACGAAACTATACACACAATCTGTGATTGGCGTTGGCATAGAGTGTGAGACTGATACAGACAGACAGACCGACAGACAAAGACAGAGATAGACAGAGAAAACGGGCCGATCAGGATGTCAGGCATCGACACGGAGAAATTCATCGAAGACATTTATAACAAGCCAATTATATGGAATCGAAACTGTGGTTCCAACAAATCGCTTACCGAATCGACGTGGGAAAGCCTATCGAAGAAATTTGGCGCATCGAGTAAGATCGAATTATCCATTTTTCGTTTGAATATATTATTTTGTTTTATTATTATTGTTTGTTGTGTTTTTGCTCATTGGTCATTGTGACTACAATACTAATTACTTATGTTTGATTTTACGCTTTTTTTTCTCGTCATTTTGTTCAATTCGATTAGTACCAACTTTGAAAGCGAAGTGGAAGGGTTTGAGAGACATGTTTCGAGTTGAAATTAAGCGCATTCCGCGCAACGAAGCCGGTGAACAGCAAATGCAACCACATGAATTTGAATCAAAATGGACACATTATCGATCTCTCCTGTTCTTAGGTAAGAAATACTCTCTGTATTATTGACATTTTGGTTTTTTCTCGTTATTGATTTCACATAAAAATTTTTTATCAAAACATTTAAAATCTCATCGTTATGAACTTGAATCAAATCACTTCCGTTTCTCATTTTACAATTTGGGGTATATTTTTATTTTGCTCTCTTGTTGTGCTCACTCGTACAAAATGTTTTACCATTCAAAAGATGTAATGTGTTTTCAGTTTGAACGACTAATGCGCTTGTGTGATTCGCTTCGGCACCGATTTAATCACATTTGTGTATGGTATGTGTGTTCATAAAAGAAGACGAGAGAACGTGAGAGGGAGAGAGGTAGAAAGAGAGTGAGGCAGAGTAAAGCAAAGCAAGCGTAAAGCCATGTGCCATGGTTTAAATGCAATGTGTTGAAGAACATACACAACACACTGTTCAAAAACCGATATAGACGATGCATACGCGTTCACATATACACAAAGAAGAGGAGTAGAAACGAGCCACAGACCAACAGAATACATTAAATAGCAAAATAATGAAGAGCCGTTCAGTGCAAGAGACGATCGACCACTTCTTCTTCTTCGTCTTTCTCTTCTCTGTCTCAATCGGTGTCTATGCATGTGAGCGTTTGTTCATACTACATACATCGTACGTTTGCATTGGTAGACTTATCACAGGAAATAACAAGCGACAGCTTATTTTCTCATATGTGCACAGAGTACAAGAGCACCACCCCTTCGTATCCTAATTGAAATTGATTTACTGTGTTTTATTAGTTCAAACGACGTGAAATATGAATTGATAATAAACATTTCTTAATTTGCTTATCCATTTAAAAAATGTTTTGTTTGTTATGCCTATTTTAGCCGATCATATGCGTTCACGAAATTCAAAATCATTGGATGGCTCACAAAAACTCGATGTATACGATTCATATTCATATGTTGCAGCTGATTATAATGTAATTGAACGTGGCGGTACAGATGTGCAAGCGGTGAACTCCATCAAACAGGAAGCAACATTTGATGTTACCAAAAAATCACAACAACAACACCAACAAAAGCGAAAAAATACCGAATCACCAATACCAGAAGAGAATGTTGTTGCCAATTTACTGCAATCGCCAGAGGCGCAACAAAATTCCAAAAAGCGAATTCTCAATTCAACGCCAATGGATTTGTTGACAGTGGGTGACGCATCAGAAATAGGTGACCGAATTATGAACGATGATTATCATTTTTTGTTAAGTTTACAGCCATTTATGTCTGAACTGCCTCCAATCCAAAAATTACGCTTAAGAATGAAAATACAAAAATTAGTTTTCGAAGAATTGTATGCCAATGAAAATCTTTTATAATATTTAGCATTTAGTAGCATCGATTGGTGTATGTGGAAAGAAACTTGCGAATTGTATAAGCAAAAGATAGACAATTTAATATACGAAACAAAGACAAACGATAGCAGGTGAAACACCAACACCAAATCGAAGTACGGCTACACATTTACAACTGTTTCTGTCTGTAGATAGACATTTTTTTTTTCTGTAAAAAAAGTATTCTCATCGTTTTGCCTTTGTTTTAATTATACATAAACGACACATACAAAAAAAAACATACTCAAACAAAAAATCGCATCGTTTCACATAATAATGATTCCCAAAAAAAAAAATGAACGAGAAAATGAGAATAATATTACAAACGAGTGAATCGAAAAAAGATATATTATGAGTCGCTAGTGGTTATCCGATTAGATAGATATTGTAAGCATTTTTCGATGAATCATTAACTTAATGTGGCATTAGTCGCTTTAGCTGCAGGGACAGGTAATCAAATAATAATAATAATTGAAAATAGTTTTTATTTAATGAGTTTCTCATCGTTGCGGCAAATGAAACAAAACAAAAAAAATCTCGTTTTTTTTTTATAAATAAAATTTGAAATGAAAGAAAATCATTTATTATTATAATTTCAAAGTAATCGACATCCAAGAGATATGCAAAAGAAAATAGTTTATAATAAATAAAACTGAATTTTTTATGAACCTGAAATAAATAATGTTTTTGATATTTTCGTTATAAATACAATTAACGTTATCAATAGAACAAGAAAAACAAAAAACGCACACACAATGACAATAAAAGATTGAATTCACAAAGAGTCGAACGGAATTCATTTCCGCTTCATCAAAAATTGCCTGTAATTTTATGATATCGACAATGAATAATGAAATGGTCGGTGTCGTTCTCGTTGTCATTGTCATCATCATCGTGTTTGTCGTTGTTGGCATATACAACTTTAATTATTCTCTGCTAATTAATTTCTAATTGTGGCCACCGAGCGTCGTCGTCCCATTCTCATACTATCATCGAACATTTATTGAACGGCTATTGTCCACCACTAATTCTCATTCGTTCTTTTGTTGTTTCAGTTTTGTTTTCAGATGCTTTTCATATGCTAAAAAGGCACTCCATATCATACTAAAAAAACTCGTACAAACCACTTGATTTTTCAGAGGAACGAATGTAAAATTTATCTAAAAGAAATCGAAAATGTAATAAAGAAAAAGAAACCAAAAAGAAAGAGAATACATATATGTTTTATTATAGTTAGAGACGAGTCTACGTGATCTGTATTCGAGCCAACAATATGTATATATACCGTTTGCACTGTCGGCCAATATATTGCTCCGACTTTGTATGTATCTATGAATTTATTGCGAACCTGTAAAACAGAAGTTTGCTTGGATAAATGAACTGAATCAAATTAACAAATAAAAAAAAAATATGTATAGCAATATCACAAAAAGATGAAGAAAAGAACTAAATTCGTATGAATTGTATGGTGACTCACTTCGTCTTTGGCTTCGTCAATTGTTTTTTGTTCCAGTATAGACATCACAAACAGAAACGTACATATTAAAGTTGGATCCACTGTAAACTGTTCGGTAATTGCCTTTGACAGCGAATATCGAAAGCCCGACCGTGGCCAAATTACATTTGCTGTTCGTACCCATACATACATTGTTGGACCCATTATGAGCGTTCCATATAGACTAAATCTGTGCCCCACGAATAATAAAAAAAAAAATCATTGTATTAATAGAGCCGAAATTATTATAGTCTTGAAATTTCATAGTTACGTGAATATTGGATGGGAAATGTGAAGAAAAAAAAATAGAATGTAATGCACATTCAAATCGCACCTTAAACACTTTTTCCAATCGTATGTTTGCCAGTTTCGTTTCTCCACCAATGTCTGTTCCATCAAACTGCCAACTGGCCATAGTACTGCATATGAGAGCATTCCACGAAGGATTTTGTACTCGTTGAAAACGTGAGTGACTTTCTTGAACATGACTTCGAAAATAACAGCGCCAGATTTTTTAATGTGCACACTGAAAACAGACGTTTAATGCATTCAAGGACAATATTCACATGCACAGTTTATGATAATCATTATGTTGTGTGAATTGAATCGATGTCGACTTCAATATCTACAAAATGCCATTTGCAAACATGATACCAATTAAAAAAACTTACCCCCCAACAAAAAAGTCGGAAACACTTTTAACTTTATAATTACAATGTGATGAAAACAAATCCAGGCGATTGAATTCGCGAGAAAGAAAAAAAAGGGAACAATTATCACAGACGTTGCATATTTTGTTGATGCAATTAAATTGAGCGAAGATTCGAATTCAACTGAAATAAAATGTTGAAATTGCATTTGAATTGTTATTGAAGTAAAAATAAATATGAACATAGTGTACATTGATCAGCTGATCAGAGGATGACGCAAAACATTTTTTGTGTGTGTTTCTTCTTGCGAAACCTTTTTTTAAAGACAGATAGATCAATAGAATGAGTATGCACACACGAAACATATTGGCGTTTGTGAAACAGCGTCATCACCTTCGATGTGTATTCATATCATTTCGATTGCTCTAAACATTAATTCGTGCACCATTCGGATCGTGTATTTGCAAAGCGTGCATATGTTGTATGTATATGATGCCGCTCGCTCATCGTATTTTCATCATTGTGTGAAACGAGTACTGCAGATGAAGAGCAAAAAAAGAAACGTTGCGCGCAAACACGCAGATTTTATAAGTACGTCTAATTTGGGAAATTAGATATGCAAACAATTCGTGTTGAGCCGAATTAAGCGAGTAGTCGAGCCGAAGTAAAAGATACGTCGACGATTGTGTATTTCCGGAAGCACATAGATATCGGTCGAATGACATGCACATATGGGCCCAATGATATGTGCACTCATTCGCTCGATCTTTCACGTACTCATTCAGCTTTTTTTATTTTCTCTCACACACACACACATACACAAGTACACAAAAGAGTGAATCTCTTGTTCTCTGTCTATTGCATGCTCTCGTTATTTGTCTGCAGGGACTTTTACTACCAAAATTCGAATACAATGATTCAATTTGATTGAATCGTGCCCAGAATCTTTTCATCTAGTTTTATTTAATTAATGTGACTTATTTGAACATACAATACATCTATTTATTCAATGGATGTGTGTGTTACATTCACTAAATGTGAATATATGATGTTGTTCTTTTTATTCACGCCAATTCGAATGTCAATATCGTACGAAGTTACGGTTTCAAATTTTTATTCAAGCGTCGCTTTTTGTTGGTGCATGGTGTAAGAAAAAAAAATTGTATCGTATGTATCGAATATTAACGTCACGGACAAAACTATTTATTTCGATGAACCTAATTGGTTTTATGCCGTTTCCCCTTCAATCTTAACGCACTGTGTGTATCGATTTAAATGTGCTGGTTGATTCAATTGTTTTCTGCTCTCTATTCAGCATTAATTCCGAATTCATTTCATGTCATTTTTGTTTAGCTCAAAATTTATTTTCTATTTCGTGTGGCTACAAAATGGTTTTTCATTGAAATTTCGATACAATATTATCGACGTACAAAAAAAAGGCATATAAGTAAAACGCTCGAAAAAAAAAATTTGCGTCATTTTATACGGAAAAGTCATATGAACCGATGTCATTTTGAAAGTGGAAAAAGCGAGAAATGTTTCTGTTTAGATTGTTGTTGATGCTGCTATTTTTCTGTATCATATACTTTACTTCATTTTCATCGAGAGAAAAAAAAAAAACTGCTCACTCGAAACATTTTTCGTCTGAACTCTCTATTCAAAGCGATAGACAATGCAAAACGAGTGACAATAAACAAACTGAAAATGAGAAAGATTGTGCAAAATTCGTTGTTCTATCAATTTTTTTCTTCTACTTCTTCTAAAGTTCTTCTTTTTCGTTGTCATCGTTGTATATACAACGATAAACATAATATATATTCCTTTTCTTTCTTTCAACTCATACTGAAACAAAGAGAATCGTGTTGCAATGAGCTGCTTCCTGGATTAGAGCATTGAGAAGAAGTTACTTGCTTTTATGATTGTTTTTGTTTCGCATCATTTCAGTTTTATGTGTGTAATACTACCACTATGTGTGTATGTCTTTTTCAGCGAATATGCCCCATTCCCAAGTGTGTCGAATCGACGCTGTCAATGTGATAATTAATATTTTTATGAAAAAAGGTCGAAAATGCAAACAGAATGAACACTAAACTCAAACAATGAACGAATAAAGTTCGAGAGAAAAAAATAACAAATTTTTTTCCTTCAACCCAGCAAGCAGTTTGATTGTATGCTGTGTGGCTGAAGATATTGTTGTTGTTGTTGTTGCTGCTGTTGCCTGTGTGTGTGTTTTTTTTTTTGTTTGTTTCACCATATCTTTTTGTATTGTTATCCTTCAGTGCAGTGTTCAGCTTATATTGCATTCATGGAACAGGACTTTTAGAATTGGTTTATAAGCATATACAACGAAAATTGAGAAAGAATCAAAGCGCTCAGCAAAATAAACTTCAATTCTTCAATGTCTTTTTAGGCAGTTCACTCGTTGTAAACTCAATCGCTTAAACCTGTATAATTCTGAGAAGCTGTAAATATTCTATACAATGTGAAACAGGAATTTTCTCTTATTATTGTTCATACTTGTGCATGTAACAGCTGTTTTTTGGGTGCTACCTTCGTCGTTGCTACGTATGAAAAAAAAATACTGTGTCTGTGTGTCCGTTCAATTTCTTTTTGACTGAACAATGTCACTGTCTATCGCCCTAGCGCTTTATAAGGTCATGAGCCACAGTTTTTTTCTCTCTCTCTCTCCTCTTTTCTCTCTTTTACTTTGCTTCATCTAATATAAACAAGTAAAGAGCATTTTTCATCCATATTCATTTTCACAATGAGGAGAAAAACTTGTTCGAGAATAACATTCAAGAACTTACTTCACAGAAAATGCATGAAATTGGAGCGAATTGTTTGTTTTATTTGTTTGGTGTTTTTGCTTCACTTTATTGTGGAAATCAAGTTCTTGTTAGAGTTCCGGACTCGATCGTTCTATTTGCTCATCTTTCGCTGTTATAACTCAACCAATCTGGCGAGGGTATTACTGAATTTAATCAGTTTTTTTAGGCAATCAACTTGCTGCCGGAGAATAAAAAGAACTAAAACCTTTTCAAATGATATAATTTACCGATTTGGTGCAAATAAAATACGAGAACTTTAATAAATATTGAAAGAGAGACGAAGAAGAAGAAAACAGAATTGAATAAAAGTACAAACGATTGAAACGAATGACAACGAACGTTGGTTTACCTGTTTTCATTCTATAGAATTTAAAATTATTTATAAATAATATCTATTAGCACAATATCTTGACAACGTGCGCAAACGGAACACGTTTCTTTTTGAAATCGTAAACATCAATTGATGTAACTGGTTAGTTATGCGATTTCCATATATCTACAACTCTTATTCAAGCCATAGAATATTGTTTCAATTTTTTTTTTGCTTAATTACTTTTTGTTTTGCACCATTCAAATCTTTCCCTGAATATATTCTTCTGTTTCATTGAGAGAATGTCATTGTTTTCAAAAGGTGCGACTTTTTGTTTTGTTTGACCGTTTTTGTTACTTTTTCATAGAAAAAGTATAAAATTGATCAAATAAATAACAGTGTTTCTGTCATTATAAAATACAATTGTGGGCATTGAAGAAGAAAAAATACATGAAAAGAGAAAATGCATCATGAGTTAAAGAAATTTGGTTGAAATAAAATTGATATTTCGTAGTGTTTTCATTTGATTACACAAAAAATGAGAAATGAAAAAATAGGTTTTCACTAGTAATATTGTATAGAGCTAACCAAGTTTTGGTGTTAACGATGACATCGACGGGCAATTGAAACAATCGTATTGACGCACGTACGAATGACCAAAAAGGTCATTTGATTAGGACTATTTGAATAGTTGAATGCATTTTCGATTGTAATAACAATGCTGAATATTGTTTGTTATGTGGACGAAATTGCATTTCATTAGTTGTCATTTCGGCAAGAGATCCAAAAGGTGCTAATTTTTTTCTCAACACAACAAATCGAAAGATCTTTCCGAAACATTTATGTGAAAATGCATTTCACAATGGGCCTAATACTCTGGGCTCTGTTTGCATAGAAAGTGTACCTTATATGCGCTTTTATTCGAGACCTGCAGCAATCATACAGATTGTGTACATCATTGAATAGCGAAAGTAGAGCTGTTGTTGAGAAGAGAAAAAAAGACACATACATACACACATCAAGCGATATAAACGATTCTCTCATCACCCAACATAAGCGTCATTATTGGAATATTGTTATCGTCCAATCCATTTAGGTTTGAAATTTGATTTTGGTCTTTTGTTTATGGTTTTATTATGATATTTTATTGTATTGAATCGACATTCCAGTCGTTCGACAGCACACATTTTGATGGTACAAAAGCCGATTACGATTTGCATTTTAACAGTCTGAACATATTTCGAATGAATTAACTACTAAATTGAAGACGACACAATGTAGACAGATGTGAGCGAAACATGTACATTATGTGCACGATTTTCTTGCTGTATGCCATTGATGATGACGACGATAATGATGATGACAGTATGTAACAAAAAATGTTACCCAAAAAAAAAAGAATAATTTTTTTTTTTAACGAGTAACACACTTTTGCAAAAACGCATATTTGTCGCTGAAAATTGTGCGCACTATTTGATCGTTTTTGTTCATTTTGTTTTGGTAAAATGTTTCGTATTAAGTTCATTCAGTTCTGGTATTTTCGAAAGTTTCTAATGAGCAAAATATGCAGATTAAAATAAATAAATTCAAATTGTTTAATTTTAATTATTATTCGATATGCCGAATATGTAGGCACACTACATGTGGAATACACAATAGTGATATGGCCATTGCCACCACCTTTACTAAATGTTGTTGTGCTTGTTTGTAGAGTTCAGGGCCAGGCCAGATCAAAAAACGGTGGCTTTTTTGAAGAAGAATTAAAAAAAATAATAATAATAATATAATACACCGTTCAATATCCGCCTGTTTATCAGTTCCCTCAATTCGTCCGTATTTGTGCTTAACGAAAAGCAAATAATCTTGAATGATTGAAAAAGTTGAATTGTCTGCACTAAGAAACTATTTATTTAGTTTGAGCCAACCAACGAATCGACAACGGCAACAACGACCATCACAATTTTATGAATGTTTGCTGTAAATACTCAATTTTTTTCTTCTGTCGATCTTGATTGTATTATATGGTGTGTGTGT